TCAGCTCCAAAGTGAGTGGCATTGAAAACTAGGCAAATTTTAAAAATAAATAAATAAAAAATCAAGCTTAGGAGTAGCCTCATTGTTATGTTGTTCCAATGCATTCGTTTTTCTCTTCAGATTAGTCATGCATTTGAAGAATGAGAAGTTCACAACAGGGCAGCGAAATCTCATGTTCATAATTAGGACCCTGGAAGGAAAAACCAGCACGTAAAACAGAAAAATATTAGCCCATGATTACACTGAAATCTCAAAGCTTAATGTGAGATGTATTCATAAGTGCTTTTCCTGGAAAGCAACAGCCTCTGCCATGCAATTACATATTTAAGCTCTGTGGAAAAGATTTGTTTACTGAGTGAGAAAGGCATAAACCCCAGGCTGCTGGTCAGAGAGAGTCCTGAGTAATCACCGGGATTACACAGATACAACAGTTCAAAGACCTTTGACATTTGATGAGTATTTTTCTCTTTTACAGAGTGAAGAGAGTTTGGACCTTAAAAGAAAAATTACCTGAGGCTTTAATTAGCAGAGCCACAGAGAAAGAAATGAAGAATGACTGTGGAGAGCAGTAAGTATATGCCGAAAGCTTACAGGGCAACGGATGCCAAGCAGGCTGTGATAGATTTTAAATTCCACATGTTTCTATATAATTTGAAGAAGACAGAAAATGCAAAAAACCTGAAAAGCATAAATTTGTGATAACTGGGAAACGCTTCATTTGAGCCTCAACTGCTTTACTTGGCGTGATCATAGAGAATTGATTCTGCTCTCTTAAAAACAACAGCTGTTCACTGCTGAAGGCTATTCCTGGATTTGCACCATATACATTAGGGCAAAAGAGACACAAGTTTATGCTACTGTAGCCCATCTGTACTGGGCCTTGACCCACACAGCTGTGTCAGTGCTGGAGCATTGGCCAGGACAGCCAGTAGCAAAGGCGACCAGACACAAAATTCTCTCAAATGTACAAAGTAACTAATAACAGCAATGTGTGGGGTTACAGGAAAATGGCAAGCATGCCATTTCAGGCAAATGTGATTTGTGAGGTGATGGTTGCTTCACAGGGAGGAGGCACAGAAGCCTAGCCTCTGCAGCATCTCTTTTCCTTAGGCAGCACGTTCCATGGCAGGAACAGGTGTAGATAAGAGCAGTGTTTTAGGGCTTGTACTGATAGCACAAAATGAGCAGAAACTGCTGCCAACTAAAAACAGGCAGAAAAAGTACAGAAAGAGGCCATAAAAAAGTGAAACATATTTCACGTCTGAAAGGTTGGATTCTCAGGTGTGGATGAAGCCAGAAGCAATGTGACATCCTGCTCCAAGCACTTTCTCCAGTTACTCCTGGCTGGCAGGTGCTGTCAGCATAAAAGCAGGAGTGCAAAGCACCACTTAGTGGAGTTTGGCTAAATTGGACACTGGGTGAGGTAGAGTGAGCTGCAGCACAGCTGTTGTATTTTTCTATCCTGGCAGGTGAGACTGCAGTTGATGTGATTTCATACTGTGGGGCAGGAGGCTGAGTTGAAGGTCACCTCTCCAGAGAGGGCTGTGGTGGCAGGATGCTGCTGGGAAGCACAGTCTCTAGCACAGCTCTCTGGGGGACAAGTCCCACTATCTGCACCACTCTGAGGCCTCTCCTGCCCTGGACATGGGGGCCAGAGGCAGCAGCAGCAGAGGGGCTGCCACTCAGCTTGGGAATTCATGTTGTCGCCCAGCAGCCCTTCCTCTTGAATCTGGGTAAAAGATTACTTCCTTCTGGTTCTTGGTAAAAATGTGATCTAGTATCAAGACTTGCCTGCAGGCATCTTTCCATGTGAAAAAAAAATGTTAAGGAGTTTTTCTCAAGGATGTTACTTGCTTTGCTAATAAATTACTCTGGAGATCCTTAAAAGAATAATGTTGCTGGTAGTGCAAGAAGTGATGTGCTGGTTTTATGCTCTCCCCATCCTTTGTGTTTTTGGGTGGCACGACATGGCATGTCACAATTCATCTCTCATTTTTACATTTGGAGAAGTGGTCAGGATGGAGCAATCCAGCCATCCCAGCTGAATACGCAGTTGTTAACTGACAGATATCTTGAGTGCAACAGGAGTCACAAGGCTGTCATGGGGGTGTCAGCTTTTAAATCCCAGCTGCTTGCAGAACCTTGGCATATCATCAGTATGTACAGTTTTTAATTTCATGGGACATTTCTTTTGGTGTTACCAATGGATTTTGTTTTGCCTTCATCTTCCCTTTTTGTTAACACTGCAGAAACTTATTTCTTGAGGCTCTTTCCTGTCTTACACGATGCCTTGTGCACTGTGTGATTCCCAGGGTGTTTCCATGGGCAGAGACCTGAGGCTGCACTACTGCTTTCATATACACTCACGTACAAATGGCAGACAACTCAATAACATGAAAGGTGTCACAGGTTATTTTACTGCAGTCTCAGCTCTGACAGGTATTTAGGTTAGTATGAAACCGGGTTTCGGCTCCAGTCAGCCTTTCTTTGCAGAGTATGGGAACAGCTGGCTGGCTGGTGGATGCTGCCTGAACAAAGGTCTCCTTCTGCTCTGAGTGGCCTCAGGGGGAAGCTGCTGCTGCATCTGGCTGGCCTGGCAGCAGGGCCCAAAATAGGGATTTGTCCTGTACAGCTGGGGAGGTCAGACAGTCTGAGGCTGTATTTTATACAATTCAACTGTGGGAGTATATTTTTCTCCTACAATCTACTCAGACCTGGGAGAGGAGCAGAGCGGGCTGAATCAATTCCTCTGACACTATCCTTTTGCATATTTTTACCTTATTTTTGAGAATCTAAAGCAGGGTAAGCACAGCTCTGAGGTTTTTTGCAAAGATCTGACTGTGTTAATTTCAACAGATGAAACTTTGGTTTCAGTGTCTGTTAAAATGAAAATATAATTTTCAAGCTAAAATATAACATGTTGAATTATTCTTATGTTGAGACTAGTAGAGCACATTAATCAATTGATCAAACTTTGCTCAGGTAGCCTTTACTGATCTTGCTTTTCTCTTCTTTGCTCAAATTAACACAGTCATATTTGTAACTGAACTCAGTGGTAGCCAAGGCTGTAAAGGCAGATAAATGCAAAAACCTGCCTCTCCAAAGTCTTTAGTCTCACTAAGAATGAAGCTCACAGAAGCACACTGAGATCAAAATCAATGCTCCCTAAACCAGGAAAAGATTCATTTGCAGAGGCTCATTTTGGATTATTCTATATGCATAAAGAGAGAATAATTAGCTTTGTATGTGTAGAGTTTTATCTTTTCTTATTCTCTCCATTCTGTGGACAAACTGTTGAGTTCACTGCTTCAATAAAAGCTTTCTAAGACACTTTAATAGTTCCCCAAATACTGGCTTTTTTTCCTTTTTCCTTTTTTTTTTTTCTAAAGCTAGATGTTTATTAAGAAGATCACAGATTTTGCTATGTTTGTTGTGAAATCCAGGGGGGAAAAACTAAACAATTCCTGGCATTTATTATGATAATTTTAACTGAGACTCATAAGTTAAAGGAACTTAATGGCATTACCCATGCAAGATATGAAAACCTCGTCTCCAGAAATAATGACCTTATTACAGCGTTGATCTTGTGTGGGTGGAAGCCTGCTTTGGAATAAGCCTGGGGGAAATGATTGTGTATTTCACCTGCCTATTGTACATTATAGGTGAGCTCAGAGGTACAATAAGATACACATTTGGCAAGTGTTTTACATGTAAGAAATTGGTAATTTAATGCATTAATCACCAGAGTGCAATTACAGACCTTAATTTAGAAGGTATTAGTCATTCGCCATAGATAACCTTCTGTGGCTATTAGAATTTCATAGTCTGAGTTCATTACAACTGGCAAATGTCATTTGCAGAACCAGCACACACAAGGGGCTGTTCTTTGGCTTCAAGCACATTTTTTCAGTATTAAATACACTCCATTAAATACAAGAGAGAGCACCTGTTTGGGTCTTGTTTCAATAAAGATTATATCCTAGTTGCATTTCAAGGGGGCTTATAAAGGTTGCACATTATTAATGTATTTTATTAGCATGTTTAAAATGGAGTGGGATACACTGGAAATATCACCTGCACATCAGTAGAAGACATCATAGCTATTGATAAGCCATGGCAAGAAACAGCCTATTAACCTGTCTCTATCAAAATGTGAGACAAATGATTATTTGTACAAAATCTGTTAGAGCATTTACTGACCTTTCATAAATGAACCTTCATATATGGTATTTTCTTGAAATTAGTAATATGCTTAAAATTAGATCTCTCAGTGCTTAATTTCAAGAAGCTGCATAAATCTAGGAGACAGTAAAATTCTGTAAGTAATTGTTCCTAATTTTTGGTGTTTTCATGTGTATAATGGAGAGGACATCTTTTCTTTCCCCCCTCCTTCCTAATTCCTTATGGTGCCTGCTAGGTGTCTAGTTTGCTGTGTGTATGTGACTTGCATAAGACAACAGAGGAGCAAGAAACATGTCTTTGCTCAACGCAGACACCTTGGCAGGAAGACAGCTTTTGTTTTAGTTTCCATCGTTTCTTGCAAGTGACAGAACAATATGAGATGGTTGTGTAGCTGTGCCTTTTTTCATCAAAATATAACATGCATAACATGCTCATCTGCATCATTTGGAATTACATTACTTTCTCTGTGCAGAAAAGCATTGAAAGATGTCAGCACACTGCTACAGAAAATACAGCTGCAATAACAAACAACTTAGCTGTTTCTTTTCTCTCTGAGTTACACAACCACAGTAGCTGAATACATTGACATTCTTTATAGAGTCCTGTGATTTATGCATTTGAAACCTGGAGGTTTTTAATAACTGAATCAAAAAGATTTAATCCAGTCTGCAGTCGTAATAATAGTGAGCAGTGTTCTATGATAAATCAGTCAATGCACCAAACCCAAAAAAAGTTCCAGGTTGGATTTTCAACCATAACTTAGCAAAAGCTTTTGCAAAAATCACTTCTGTAAATTCATGAACACTTGTTAGCAGCAGTTGACTGTACAAAAAGCAGCAGTGAATACCTTGCTTCCATGCTGAAACATGCATTATGTATTAAACAAAAAGATGCTCAAGGACTATAGCCATGAAAGGACAGCAGTCCTGCTTACCTGCTGCTTCAGCCACTTCTAAAGCTTTTATTCACAAACTGAAACAGGCTTAGCTGACACCTAAACTGTCCCTGCATTCCAGGCCTTGCTTCAGTATAAAATATCTCATCCATTTAGGTGTATGGGCAAACAATTAGAGGCCTAAGCTGGCAAGATCCACAAAATCAGGACCTTGACAAGATCCTGGGTGCTTCCCACCTGCAACAACAAGCTACAACAGGATTATAAGTGAAGTATCCACCTTAGACACATATTGTGATGTGTGAACTGAGGGCACGCATGGTTAAAACTTGGTGCTGGTTTTTACTGTCACCACATAAAAGGAGGTGCTATGGTGGTAGACTCAGTAGAAAAGAGATTTACTCACTTACAGCTAAGAGTAATCTTGAAAATACTCAGAACTTAAAGTACCCACTTCCATCTATTCAACTCTAAGTAAGAGAGAAGCAGGACCAAACAGAAAATAAGTTGTTATTTATTTGAGCATAAGTATCACAACCTCACAGTGTAAATTTGCACAAAACAATGGGTGCTCACAGATACTTCTCTAATATCCCACGTGACCTGATAGAGTTCTATAGGACTTTTCCTAAACTGGTTTGTTTGCTCTCTCCAGTTCCCTGTGTTTTGTTTAAACATGCTATTCCAAATTACTTGTCTTCAAACACACAGGTCCTGTTTTCAGTGGCCTTAGAAATACTGCTTCAGTGCCAGGGTGTGTTGTAATTTCTTACCTGATTTAACATAAGTAAAACATATCCCAGGCAACCAGAGAGGTGCATTAAGACCATTAAAATACATGCATATGCAGTCACTTGTAAGTACTTAATACAAGAGTGACATAAGTATTAGTAATTAAAGATATGTAACCCAGATTAGTATGAAGACAGGCACTTCGGTGTCATCTCAGGCCCAGTCGATTCCATACAAAGCAGAACAGCTCAAGCAGGAAAGAGTGAGAATTTCCTCTGTAGACATCCTCATGGTCAGGGGTGACAACAGGGGTCATCAGAGACAGAAGCAGAGTTCATGTTCTATTAAAAAGAGAAAGGCTCCATAAGGAGCAACCTGGGTAGGAGAAGGGTCTATAACTCGGTGTGAGTTACAAGCAAGAGCTGCCTCAGGCACTTAATTCCAAAAGAGGCTGAGAGTTGTGCAACGCCAACAGAGTGGAGCCTCATTTTATTTAAAAGGTGAATCTTAAGACATGGCCCTGAGTTCTGCATTTCCAACTGCCCAGATTAGGTCATGCTTTGGTTAACATGATGTATACTGGAGATCCAATGCTTTAGGCTCCTGTGTCTCCCATGCAATGTTACTAAATCCTCAGCTCACTGCTGCAGTTAAGGCCAGGCAGCCATGCGCTCAAGAGTTAGCTCAGAGATTGTCAATTTTTCAAACAGCATCAATTTCCAGAAATTTTATTTCAGTGCAACCTGAAAATTTAAATTACTGTAATTTTTTAAAATAAAAATTACTCTGTCCTCTCTTTTACCTCCCCTTTTCATTCCTGGATTCCTCTTTAAGAATTACAGTAACAGGCAAATAAATTACTTCAGTTACAGATCTGTCATTCAACCTTAACTTCTTTAGGAAACCTAAGTGTTCCACTTAGTATAAGGTAATGTAGGAAATGGAATATAATGACCATTAGAGATAGGATAAGAATGTGAGTACAGGATCACCTGCTTACAGTTATCTTGGGTCAGATAAGTGCCCATCAGAGACTCAGCTGTATTGGATGTAAGAGGCAGAGATAAACTGGCTCTTTCCACCTGCAAAAGACCAAAAAAAACAGCTCAAGCACCAAGCAGCCAGCAAACACAAATTTTCACATTGCTTACACTGAGGTGAGCTAGTATGATCATCTCCTACAGATTAAAATGTAGCAAAGCCCATAAAAGCTTACTCCTGTGTCCTGGCTGCATCCCTCAGTCTTTTTTCCCCTTGCCTGACCCTTCCCATAGAATCAGAACCATAGAATGATTTGGGTTGGAAGGGGCCTTGAAGATCATCTAGTTCCACCCCTGCCATAGGCAGGGGACAACTTCCACTGGAGCAGGTTGTTCAAAGCCCCATCCAACCTGGCTTTGAACACTTCCAGGCATCCACAGCTTCTCTGGGAAACCTGTGCCAGTGCCTCACCACCCTCGTAATTAAGAATTTGTTCCCAATATCCAATTTAAACATACCCTCTTTCAATTGAAAGCCAACCCCCCTTGTCCTATCACAAGCCCTTGTAAAAAGCCCCTCTCCAACTTTCTTGTAAGCCCCCTTTAAGTAACTGGAACATGCTATAAGGTCTCTGTGAAGCCTTCTCCAAGCTGAACAACCCCAATTCTTTCAGCCTGTCTTCACAGGAGAGGTGCTCCAGCCCTCTGAGCATCTTCATGACCCTCCTCTGGACATGCTCTAACACTCACGTCCTTATGTTGGGGCCCCAGAGTTCGGTATCCAGCAGCCGGTCTTGGAGAGCTGGGGAGGATTTCCACTGTGCTGGGGAAATTCCCTCCCAGTGTTTCTTCCTTGGTGATTCTATCTTTTTTTAATATTTTTTTTTTTCCCATTCCATATGCACATCACCACCGCTCTCCTCCATGCCCTACCCCTGCGGCACCCCAGGTCTCTCTGGCGCTGCCCTTTTATTTACGGTCGCCTTGCACAAGAAGGCGGCTCAGCTGCAGCGCCGTTCCCGGCCGCTGTGAACATTGCCCTCCCGGCCGCACCTTCCCGTCCCGGCCAGCCGTGCTTCCCCCGCCGGCACCGCTCCTCAGCCATTCCCTGCAGGTCGAGCACGTTTTCCCGCTCCAGCCGGACGGTGTGTATGCGGGGAATAACGCGCGGGGGGCGCTCCCGGCGGCGCGGCTGTTCCCAGCCTTTTCCCCGGCGCCGCCCGATTTTCCCGTGCGGGGCTGCTCCGCTCTGTCCCGGGCCGGACGCCGGCGGGAGGTGAGCCGGGACACCGGGATACGGGTGGGAGCCGGGAGTCTGAGTAGCAGCCTTACATGGCTCCTTCACAGCCCACGCCAGCCCAAGGGTCGGTCGTCACCCTCGCTTTCCCCCTTCTGTCTTTCCCTTTTCAGTCGCCAGGAAATAAGGGTATCCACCCGTAGGAGAATGTTTTGGCACCAGGGTTGTACTTCTGCATTTTTCAGAGCAGTATGTAACTTAGCATTCATTCGCTTTCCGGCCCTCCCCGAGGCCGGATCATTACTCTCATTTTATGGGGAAAAAATAGGTATGTGGGGTATAAAGTTCCTAAGAGGCACAAAGGCATCAGAGGTGGGACTTGATGAGACATGCCTGCATCTGGCCTTGTAAGACTCCCCACCTTGCAGGATGTCAGCAATTCCCACCTTGCACTTCAGTGCTTCGAGTACTCAAGCATGAAACATTTTGCTTTTGCAGACACCCAGCAGTGCCCGAGTCTGGCAGGGCTGACCAGCCAACATCTGATACAGCTACGTGGTACAGGTGTTGTGATGTAGGCATGCTTCTAGCTCAGAGCCAGCCCAAAGCACAGTAGTGTTTTAAAATGGAGTGGTGAACTGCACATCTTTGATTCTGTGGCTTATGGCTGGGAGCATTCACCCAAGCTGTGGGAGAGTTCAGCCCTTTCCGTCCTCTGCCTGAGGGTGAATGGGACATATGTCTTCATCCTAATTGGGAACAGGCTAATTTTGGCCTCCTCCAGCTTCCTTGTGAAGCTGTGTCATTGTGCGAGAAGCTGATTGAGATGGTAAGAGGCAGCAACTGGAGGGGAGGACAAGAGGGGCTTCCAAGGTGTTCTCTAAGGATTGGTTTCTGGGTTGAACATGTGCATAGTCAGAACATGGAAGCTGCCCAGAGCAGATCTCCCTTCCCTCCCTTGACCCTGTACAAAGCATCCCCTAACCCTTCAGTAGGCTGAAGCATGTCTTTGATTTAGCAACTCTTGAACATTATTCACTCAGTTGGAAGAGCTGTAACAGAAGAGGAGAGTGCCTCCAGTCCAGAATAACCAATGCTTCCACAGTGAATGGGGGGGGTGAGATAAAATGTTTGGTGTTGCATTGTGCAGAGAACAGAACTGAGAGTAGCTGTTTTACTTGATAGATTAATGTGCTAAATGAAGACATAGCTAGCTTTCCCTCCGGAAAAAGCTGGGTAGGGACAGAATTTAAAATATAATCTGCTTGGAGATTTCTGTTTCGGCAGTCCCTAGGTGTCAGACCTGGAAGATATATGCAGGTGAGCCCTAGTGTGCTACTGCTATGCTGTGAGTCAACAGAACAACCCACTCACCAACAGCTTCCCTCAGGAATGGTTTCAGAAAGGCTACCAGCTACTTTTCTGTCATCTTCACAGGTCTTCATTGCATTGTAGGTTCTACAGTACAGGATTATGTCAGCCATACTAGTGAGTGAAATTTTCACATTCTTCTCCTCCACCAACTAACTCAAATTTATTCAGATCTAAAGCTTATTTCAAAGAAATTCGGAAACTATCCTTTCAACATCTCCATTCCAGGAAAGAGCAGAGCAGGTTTCTAATTTCACTTCAATGTTTGGCAGATTTTCTCTCTCTTTGTATTATATTTATGGTCTTTTCATCACTGGACATTTGCAGCTTGTTATCTTTTGATTGCTTTATTAAAATGTATGTGTAAAAAAACCTTGCAAAAGCAACCATCTCTTTGTTATCATTTGTTCCATTTGGCTCCACATATTCAGGCACCTGTCTCCATATTTTTTTAGTAGTTCTTTATTAAATAACGTTTCCAGATTGGGTCCCAGGAGTGCAGGAGGGGTGACCATGCCATTCCCTCTCTGGCTAGCCAGTTAGTCACCTTTGCTGACTTCAGGCTACCAACCCATTACCAGTTTTATGCATGACCACTAACTATTTCACAGGCATGACAGTGCTGATGAGCTTTATGAAAAGGTTACTTTTGCAGGTAAAGCTGTACAGAGCTCTGCTTGTGATCCCAGGAGTTACTGTCTGAATGCTGCTTCTCCACTTCCTGCTGCTTCCTCAAGAATTTCTGTCTCATCTGTGAAAGCTGGCCTCCTCTAAGTTAAAAATTTGACTGTCTTTCTTGAGACTCCTCTCCTATTATCAATTTGATCTCTTCCAGGCGAGAGCTTAAATCCTCTCTGCTTCTAATTATCCTGCAAGCACAAAAAAAGGACATTGTGCTCCTAAGCTAAATCCACTGTGTGAAGAACACAGTCCAAAATGACAGCTAAGAGGGAAGGGGAGCTAATAAGAAGGAAACATTTCTTCCCTGGAGTGACTTCTAGTCTAGACCAGGCAGTTCTCACGTGACATTTTTCAAAGAAAAAAAGAAAACATGGACTCAGGATGTATCTGAGTGGTGACTGTGACTGCTAGGTTGTTTGTGCAGCTTTGAATGAGTGTCTCTACTGGGAAAAAACAGTAGCAACAACTTGAAAAAAAAACACAACGGCCTCCTGAATCTTCACTGCCCTTGATGAAGCCCTATTTCCTTAGGACCTGGAAGTTTGTAGGAAACCTTCTTGATCCTCTTCTGAAGCTCTCTTCATCATCCCCTCTGAGACACAGAGGTGGGGGAGGCTGGCAGATGAACCAGTGCCCAGCACTGGGGTGCTTCATTGGAACAACCAGCCCAGCTGGTTGCTCAGGCAGGGAAAGGAGCAGCCTGGCTCTAATCAGCAGGGAGACACTTAAAAATGTGCTAGGGGCTAAAAACGACTGAACTGGGGCCAGGACCTGGGGTCTGGGGCTGCAGCACCCTCCCTCTGCCTATCCAATTTACTCTTGTCCTCTGGAGAAATAGCCTAGAGCGTGTTTTTTTCAAGTTTATTTTCTTATCCTTCTGGGGACTGTTTTCTTTTAAAGAACTCTTACCCTATAATTAAGGAATCACATCTGTCTTTGTGTGTTTGCATCTCATCATATAATGTGATGGGATATCAAAACAAATAAATACAAACAGGAACTACATCATTACACCCAATCCAGTGGCTGAATTTTATTGTCCTTCTGCTCTGTCAGGTCATTAAATGCCTTATTGCCTTATGTTTTTTTCCATCAGTGACAGGAACTGCCACAGTACTCACTTGCCTTATAAGATGCTTCCTGATTTTAAGTTGGAAAATGCTATATTACAGTTAAGAATCCTAGCAACTTAAGGGAGATGCCAAGGGGGTGGGGGCATATTCATTAATCATATGATGAATGAAATAGTTTCTTTTTTAGGTTGTCATTGGCTAGAGAGGCCCCGTGATGAAAAGTATGTTTACACTGCTCAACTTTTTATGAGTACAAATGCATATATTATGATGGCTTAGAGCCTGGGCAAAAGCTCGGATCTTTACTTTTCTTTCAGTAAGTAGATTTGATCTAATCAGATAACAGCAGCAATACAAATTTTCACAATAGCAGTTGGCCTTTATCTGACCGGTCTAAGAACAAAGGTTTACTGTTTGCACTATATCTTTCAAGATCTTTTTTATGGCCTAAATAAATATTACAAACTCCTTGTCAGTAAGGCTATCTGTTAGATTAAAAGAAAAAGGATGCTCTTTGAAGGTCTTTGGGGTTTTTTTCTAGAAATTTTACCAAGTGCCAGATACAAATAGTTCTTCACAGCCAGTGTTTATCATGAGGCTCTGGGAAAGATGCCCATAGTTTTTGCCATGACTGAAGAAAATATGAGTGATATTAGGGCATTAGACAAGGATATTTTGTTCTGCACTTGATAGAAGAAGTAGAAATGATTCTCATTTCCTTACAGAATTTTGACATGTGAATATATAGAGAAAGCTGCACAAGGGAGACTCTGTTCATTTGGATGGCAGGAAGGGACCCAAGATCTGAAGAATGAGATTGAGACACATTTTTCTATTCAAGTGAATTTCAGTGGATTTTAGGCAGCCAAGTCCCCAAAATGTGATCTGAAAGGCCCTTCCTTCAGTCATAAACCCACAAGGCACCCCCACATCTGCGGTAGCTCCCAGTGCGTGTAAGCCATTGCACGGGAGCACCCCAAGGTGAGGAGCCTTGCACAGCAATTGCAGGTGTTGGGGAGGTCAATACAAAGAACATGACCCCTGGCAGACCTCCTCAGGGGAGCCTGCGTGGAGCACCTCTAGCAGAGCTACAGCTTTGAGTCTAGTGCAGGGCATATGAGCCATGAACATTTTCTTTCAATCTTTGGCCAAGGAAAAGAGAGGTCCCTGATGCTATGGCTCAATTAGACCATTAAAGGAAGTGGAAGACCCGAGTGCTTAGCCTGCCTCAGTCTGAGAAGCTTCAGTCTGGTTCTCCCTCAAGGAAACTGCTCTAACCATAAGGCTGTAAGCATGTAAGTGTGTCAGGTAACAGTACTTGACATCTGTCCTGCAGAAATGTGGCTGTGCACACAAGGATGCTAGAGCTGTGAGGATTTTCAACAATGCCAAGTGTAGGGTACTGCACCTGGGGAGGAATAACCTCAAGTACCAGTACAGGTTGGGTGCTGACCTACTAGAGAGCAGCT